CAAAATAAGTTTCAGCCATTTTTATGCAGGACTAGAGTCATGGAGGGTGTAAAATAGGTCAGAGGTACCTATGAGTACCTGTATCCCATCTTACACCCCCCATGACTCTAGTTCTGCATAAAAATGGCTGAAACTTGTTTTGAGCATAACTCAGTCAATTCTTGTCCAAATGACATGACCCTGGGCTCATTTGAAAGCTGGAAGCTGTGGCTACCCTTTAATTGGTATTTTAGGCACAGGTACCCGTCCGGTAATCGTGGCATGCCCTGTGCCACGATTATATCCGTGTGAGTACCTGTATCCGTGGAAACAAGTACCTGTTCCCTCAGAGGTCACACCTGTATCTGGGGTAGCATCTGTGGGAGCGGGTATCCATATCCACGGATACAGGTACTTGCCGATGGGCAGGTACTCATGGATAGAATCAATTTACGGGTATCTTGAAGGTACCTGAGGGGTACCCGTGGGTACTGTGGCAAATATGAGCTGGGAAAGGGGGTGGAGTGGTACTCACCAAATCAATAACCATTGTTCTCAATGACGAGTGGGCCGTATCACATCAAAACAAGTACAGAGGGTGATGCGGTACATCAACACGGGTCTATCGACCCCGCAACATCACAAATGTAAGCGGAGTTGAGTGAGAACGAGCGAATTTACAATAGAAGGTAGGAGGGGGTACTCACTAGGTCAATGTTGTCATTCTCGACAACGAATGGGCCAAATCACATCGGACCAAGTATGGGAAGTGATGCGGGATATTAACACGCGTTGATCGACCCCACAAGGTTGTAAATGTACGCGGAATTGAGTGAGAATGAAGACATTTACGATAGGAGGTAGGAGGGGGTACTCACCAGGTCGATGTCGTCATTCTTGACAACGGGTAGGCCAAATCGCATCAAACCAAGGATGGAATGGGATGCGGGACATCCAGATGCGACGATTGACCTTGCAACATCACAAATGTACGCGAAATTGAGTGAGAACGAGCAAATGTACGATAGAAGGGGGCAGGGAGTACTCACCAGGTTACTACTGTCGTTCTCGATGACGGGCGGGCCAAATCGCGTCAAAACAAGGACAAAGGGCGATGAGGTACATTAATCCGCGTCAATGGACCCCGCAACATCGTAAACGTATGCGGTATTGAGTGAGAACGAGCACATTTATGATAGAAGGTAGGAGGAGGTACTCACCAGGTCAATACCGGCGTTCTCAACGATGGGCGGGCCGAATCACATCAAACAAAGGACAGGGGATGATGATGGACATCCAAACACGTCGATTGACTGTGCATTGTCAGAAATGCGCACCAAACTGAGTGAGAACGAGCAATTTTACGGTTGGAGGGGTAACGGGGACTCACCAGGGTCAACAACGCCGTTCTCGATGACGAGTGGGCCGTTTCTCGTCAAAAAAAATACAGGTCCCGATGCAGGCGCTCAAGACGCGTCGATTTATGGTGCTACATCCAAAATATACGCGGTATTGAGCGAGAACGCGCAATTTTACGATGGCAAGGGGTGGGACTCCAAACTGATTCACTCAGAGAGTCAAGACCCTCGAGACCCTTATGGAAACAGGTACACAGGATGAGCGACACCACCATTGACGGCAACACGATGTGTCAATTCCATTACAAAGTGGTGTACGCTCCGGGAAGTGGGAGGGAGTGAGGAGGAGAGCGAGGAGAGAGAGTCGCTGGACAAACATCTGGCCTCCGGCAAGCTCCGGCCTGGAAATACCAAATATGGCGGGTACTCTCCCACGAGTATCTGTGAGCCCCAGCATCAGACCTGTATCCCTGCACACACCCGTGGGAACGAGTATCTGTATCCACAGATATAGGTACCTGATGGAGTGCCTGACAAATATCCATGGCAGGTACTCACGGGTCTCGGTACTCGTGGCATGCCCTGCTGGAATATGATCGCTAGATTACAGGCATGAGGGTTCATACCAATAATCAAGCTGAAACCGTCCTACAACTCTTTCTTGAAGCCATCTATGAATTTTGCTGCCCAGGACGTGTTCGTGGAGACTATGGCGGGGAGAACCTGAAGGTAGCAATCTGGATGATCATGCATTGTGGCGCCAATCGGGCGTCATTCATGTGGGGCTCGTGTGTTCGTCTTCTATCACCTTGACCTACTTCTACTGATGAGTATATGTTCCATGGCACAGATCAGAGAAGAATACACGGATAGAACGTACATGGGTAGAGGTTGGATCCCAATTCGCCCGTTAGTGACGAGCTTTCTTTGTTCGACTGGGACGACTCCATGGCCTTGATCGGTTCAATCCTGCTCACCTTTGGCTCATGCATATATTATTCCTTGACGTCATTAATCAAGACTGTGTAGCATTTGTGCAGGCATGGAACCATTATCCGATTTCGGGCTCTGTGACCCAAAACCGATCTCCTTCAGTACGTCTGACTATAATATTGAGTATTCTTACTCAGGCATACTAATGTATGCTGCTGGTCGTCTCTTGCATCAAGGATATTTGCTTCGAGAGCCTTCACAAACATGGAATCGATGAAGATCAACCCAGAGTTCACCCGACCGTTCTTGACCAATACTATGGCGTAGAAGTTCTACCACACCATCACCACCCAGGTCAGACTGGTGCAGGTCATCCAGATGATGAAGATGATGATGCTGTTACCATTGACAATGAAGAGTTGGAGTATACTGAGCATCTGATCGGCGACGATCTGGAGGAAAGTATCCGACACGACACCATTCCTGTTCCTCCAAAGACATGTCCATTCTCTCCTACATCCTTAGATGTATTCCTCGCCACCCTGAGTGAAGTGCAGGAGCAAGGCATTGTGCCTGATGGATATGGCCTTAAGACCGAGGAGTGGGAGGAGACATTTTATCCCTTGTCGGAGACTATAATGTTCGGCGTAGGTGGGAAAAAGAAGCTGAATGTTATACTCTCTGTTGATTTATGGTGGCAAGGAGCTCTGGCTTAGGTGCAGGGACTAGATGTCATGGAGAGATTGCTTGTAGATGAGGACAATGTATAAACTGATTACAATTAAATTTATCGCCTCAGAATTAGGCCAGCTGGGGCCTTGAACCAGTGACCGGATTAGTGGTGGTGCTGTGATTGAGAAGATATGAAGCCGCTGATCCTACCATCGAAAGAGTGGCCCACCTGAAAATTTCACGGTATCGCTCCCTCCTCTCGACAGCCATCTACGTCTCTGCCATCTTCAATGACTCTCCATACGCACTCTCCTGACACCTGCTCAGCCAATGACGAAAATGGCCAGAGATGTCCATGTTGCCGCTTCCTAAAGCCAGAGAATCTGACCTCCGGGAAACAGCTGTGTTGTAGCTGTGGCCATATCGAGGGGGCACATCCAGAGACCGAGGTTGCACCAAAATGTTTGTCTAGCGAATCAGAGCACATTCTAGAGGGTCTACGCCCAGCAGTCAAAGTCCTTCGACTCGGGGAAGCCGTAACTCCTGAAGATGCCAGAACAGAAGTGCTATCAAACTTCCGCCCCGGCAACACGAAAGCCTCAAGATCGTCTAGCAAAGCATCATCCAGCAAGATGGTAGGACGTTCCGTGAGTGGAAAGTTGACAACAAAGGTGCGTAGTAATCTTGTCGCCAAACAGCAATGTCGTTGATCAAAGAAAATCATGGTTCTTCCCCTTACGCCACAGAAATCGTCAAAATCCGGCACATCAGATGATTGTAAAGACCCTTGGATCAAAGTTGGCACTATTGTGCTGATCCCAGAGGGCTTGGAAGAGGTGAGTGATCACCCTTGCCTCAACACCGCTGCCAGGTGACGGACACGTAGAGACCAAGCCTGACGGTGTGGAACTTTCACTAGCACGTGCCACCACAGCGTGCACTGGAATTACAATGTGAAGCCGGAAGTCCCGTCCATCAACATTGTAATTCCAGCCCAAACTGTCCGCTGTCACCTGGCAGTGCTTCTTTGCTTCTCATGCTTACTCAGCTAGGGAAGCCGTCGGAACAGCATATTGATCTGGGCATCTCCTAATTTGGATGATTCCCCATGATTTATCATTAATAGCCTGGCGTTTTTGACTTCCCTTGCCCTAGACTTGGGTTTCCTGTTCGGCCTTGGCCTGTGCCACTGGCTCCTGCAGCCCAGCCCTTCCCTTCCTCCTCCTTTATTGTTTTACTACTTCTGACCTACATATGTATATAGTACACCTAAGTAGAGTATATATCTACTCAATGCATTCATATTGGAGTTCAAGATAGGGTTTGTACGAATTTATTTCGATTTTTGCGTATTTTGTGGCCCAAGTGTGGCTCTCCCTTTCCCCAGGTTCTGTACTTGTTTTTTCACCCAAGCCAAGTCAGATATGAGCTGTTGAGCCTCATATAGATGTATCTTATTCACACAGGCTCTGATCACACCAGGAAATCCAAAGAAATAAATGAACATGAATATATTTCGCATTTTCCCC